CCGCTCGGAGCTGCCAGCCCAGGCAGCGGGCAGGGATTCAACTCCTGCGGGGTGGGGGGCACAGGGGCGGCACGGTGCCCTCCTGGCGAGATGTCAGAGCACCCAACACCCGGCCCTGCGGAGGCTGTGGGGCAGAAGGGAGGCAGCAGAGGGGTCCCTGCCCACGGTGTTGGATACAAGGAGGGGGTTTGCCCTTTCTGCAGAAACAGCCGGCCGTGGAGGCAGCGCAGGCTGCCCTTCCCTTCCTCCTCACCCAGTGAATGGCCGGACATTTGCCGAGATGGAGATTAAGGCACACGTGTATCCGGATTTCTGCCTCACCGTGCCTGTGAGAAAGCAGCGGGCACGTTGGAAACCTTCCCAGGCCCCATCCCTCTGCCTGGGGGAAGCTGAGGTGGGCGGGAAGGGGCTGCCAGTTTCTCCACCAGCAGCAGTGGTGCCAAGGCAAGGCACCCGCTCGCCCATCATGGAGTGCCTTGGAAAACATGTCCCTCCTTCCCCGGAGGAGGTGTCCCTGTGCTGAGAGCATCCCAGCTGTCCAGAGCAGCCCCTTGCCCTGCAGACAAAGAGCGGGCACAGAGGGGCCCGCCCAGCCCAGCGCCTTGGCAGGGCAGAGAAGTGAGCCATTGTCCCCCGGGCCACCAGCACCAGCTGCTGCTGAGGACCAGACCAGTGGACACTGCCTGCTGGGACGCAGCAGAGGCGGCTGTGGCTGCACCAGGGCTGTGATGGTGGGTCCGGCAGCAGCCCTGGTCCTCCTCTGCATGGCCATGGGGCTGGAGGCCAGCCCAGAGCTCTCGGGTGAGTTGGGGTGAGGAGGGATGCTGGGGGCTGTGACAGTGTGAGGGGAGGGTGAAGTCCAGAGCTGGGCTGTTGGGGTGGGGACGAACAAGGCACAAGCCAGTGCAGGCTGGAGGGAGTTTACCAAAAAATCCTGGGTTATTTTCGCAAATTGCATCTCCCCATGGTGGGGCTGGGATCTGGAAACAGCCCATGCATGTCCTGTGCAAGAGAGCAGTTCCCCCTACTGCTGCTGCACTCCCTTGGACCATTTGGAGGCAGAAACACAAAAAACCCCAAAAAGACAGTTCCTGAGCTTTCCTGAACCCCCCTTGGCCATGATGCTCAGGCCCTTGGTGCTGGGCAGTGTGTGGAGCTGAAGGCTTCTGGAGCACCCAGGGCTCTCCTGGGTGCCTTTGCTGCTCTGAGAAGGTGAGAGAAGAAATGGGCTGAAGCTCTGCCTGGTCCCTGGCCAGAGCTGGTGGCCATGGTCCTCAGACAAAGCCACCCATGAATAGAGCTGTGGGGAGGCACAAAAAGGGCTACATCCTCTCTCAGCGGCACCACCGTGTGCCCTATAGATGTAGCAGAGGTAGAAATTTGGGATCCCTTGTGCCTCTGCGCTGGGGACCATCAGGATGGGTGCAGGCAGGCCAGCCATCCAGGGGCTGCTGTTCCTCTCTTCTAGAAACCACCACACTCAACTTCCCCTCAGCTCTGCCAGGCCTGGGAGGCACTAGAGCCTGTCACGATGCTGCTGAAGGCGGCAGGGTGGGTGGTGGCGGGGAGGATGTGATTTCATCTGGGTAGAGCTAACTGCACAACCACAACATCAGGGACTGAGTCAGCGGCACCAGCAGACGACCAGAATCACTCACAAAATCTTCTTGTAGCCTCCTTGCTGTGGTTTCACCCTAAAAAAAAACATCTTCACAAGTGCATACTGCCCCAGAATGGTGGGATGGGGGAACCTGTGTCCCTGTGGCACCGTTTGAGCCTCGGTTTTGAAATACAACCCACCGGTGCCGGCCATGGGTGCCAAAGGGTTAGCAGCATCAGAGAAGGTGAAAGGAGCCCTTTGTGCAGCTGAGCCTGGCACTGGCTGGGGCTGGGAGCTGGTGTTCCCACCCGCTGTGGGCTGGGGGACAGGGTGCGTGTCCTGCCCTGGACACCAGCGTGGGGCTGGGGTGTGAGTCCCCAGCTGGGGACTGGGGTCTGTGACCCTCCCAGCAGCCTAGAGTCCTGCCTGGCAGGTACTGGGTTGCCCCATTCTCACCTCCCAGCCTCAAAATGATGCTTTCCCTTTGCTTTTGTTTTATTTGAAGGTCTCATGCAAACTGCTCTGTCCAGGGCCATACGCATAACTTTTTGTTAGCTTTTCCTGCTTCCTTAACCTCCTCCAGCAACTGGTGCCTGCTCAGAGCACCGCTGGCAGCTTGCAGAGGTTTTATTAATGCAACTTCCTAACTGACCCAGCAGGGCTGATAGCTACGTGTTAAACCTTCTTAAAGATTGGGCGGGACAGCCACTCTCTCCTTGTAGAGAAAACCACAGGTAAGTGGACACAAACTGGGCGGGATTAAAAGAGAGAAATACCCTGCGCTGGGAATTCAGGGAGAGAAGAGCCCTGCTCTGGTTCTGGTTGTCCTGTAAGTGCCCCAGCCCAGGGCAGTCTCACTGCCCCTGGCTGACCGGAGCCCAAGCACCGCCCCTGCCCTGTTCCCGATGTGTTCTGCAGCTGACGCCACCTGTGCTCCCCCTTCCCAGGGTACCTGCGCAAAGTGCTGAGGAACCACACTGCCCACACCTGCGACGGTGAGCAGCTCCTCATTGTCTGCCCTCGCAAGACCACCATCAGCATCCTCAGCGCGTTCTACGGCCGCCGCGTGCCCAGCGCCAACCTCTGCCCCAGCCCTGGCAACATCTCCCAGGAGAGCACCGAGTGCACGTCCAGCACCGCCCACCTGGTAAGGACCGGGGTCCCACCCGCACCCCTCCTGCCCCAGCGGGCTGGGCTGCGGGCTTGGGAGCTCCGGAGGAGGCTGCTGCCACCGGCACCGGGAAACACCCTTGGAGTCCTTTTCCCAGAGCGCTTTTGGGAGATGAGGGTGGAGGAGACTTTGCAGGGTGGGTGCCAGGGCTGGCCAGCCTGGCAGGAGGGGCTGCCGCCTCCCGAGCTTGCTTGGAGCCATCCCGCAGGACGCAGCAGGCGCGGAGAAGGCCGGGGCTGGGGCCGGGAGCG